ACAGAGGGTTTGAAACCCTACGGTTGGCTCCATATATACCTATAAAAAAATCATATATATATGTATGATAAAACTATCAACAATGTTAAGGGTATCTATTATTTTACACACCTTCATATGGGTGTGAGCTGCCCTAAACTCGTGAGAGAGTAAAAAAATAAGTACCAATATCTTTACTCAAGTTATATACAAGGAACTTCCGACCAACATAGTGAGATCCACTATTTTAAACATGGTTACATGGTAGATTTTACACATACACATAATTTTTACCATATCAATACACTTGAAAAGTGGAAAAAAAAAATTGATGAAATAAATCTAGTGGTAAATAACATTTTTCTATATATAATTACATTTTTGTACATAAAAAATTATTATCAATACAATAAAATTCTCTTTATTTTGATGTGATAAATTTAAATTAGTTTGTTGATTTATTAGAAATAGGTGATGAATATGATAAATGTAAAATTAATATAGTATAAAATTTAAGTTTTTGACATCACCAACAAAAGTTTATGGAGTCATCACTGTTCGTAGGGGTCATCATAACCCAAGTCAAGCTTGAAAGATTTTGGAATCTCATATTAGGCTTGGATTTCAACACAAATCTTAGCATAGGATAATCTTTTCCTTGAATGGGTGACCGAGTCCATATAGAGAGGTTTTCCATTGGTACTTGCCACAAAGCCAATGAGCTTTTCCCTTTCCCCCTAAATAAAGTTTAAGGGAATGACTCCAGGCAGCAAAATATTTCCCATTCAACACTACACGTGATACGATGAACAACAGTATGGTGCGAGAGAGAAAAATCTAGATTAATTGAAACAGGTTTAACTAGTGCCACAGGAGAAACATCGGATGGAGAGTCAGTCATGGTGGCTAGGGAAATAGGTGATGTGTATAGTTAACAAAATAGAACGATACAAATCACAAAACACACCGGACAAACGGCATAACCAATCTAACAAGTGCTACCGAACAACCCCGTAGCCCACTAACAAAAATAACGCAAGAAAAAGACTTACCACATCAACACCAAGTCCCGAAACATGGGATAGAACCTGCCGAACTTCCCTAGAGGGGCTGTCGGCCTAAACTAGGACTGTGGAATAGCCTAGGCGAAGGGTTTAAGGGGGCTGGGTACGGCTTTTGGGTGGAGGAGAGGGGCTGGGAAGGGCTGTCGGTGGCTAGGTAGTAAGAAAAAGGCAGCTGGAGGTGATAGGTAGGGTTGTTAGGTAGAGAGAGAAGAAGAAGGAGGCGGCTAGGGTTTTTTCTTAGGCTCTGATACCATAAAGAATGAAAAGAATAGAATGGCTTAGTCTAGAATGGAGACTAGCTTGTGTATATTTACTGATAGAGATTTACTAGATAGGAAATAACGTAAAAGGAAACAAAATCAAGGCCTAAACAATGGGCATAAAATAAGACCTAATTGATTCTAATTCCAACAAAGACAAGGAAAGGTGGTGTCGGTAGCCAAGGAGAAATGTGGGGGGAAAATTCCCTTCAAAAATTGAAATAGAATTGGCTAATCATATACTTAATTTCATTTGGATGGGTGTTTGCACCCATTTTCGTAAATTTCTTGTTGACAGGTGGACTAGTTGGAGTGTGACATGTGGCAGAGACAAGCGAGGGTTCAACGGTTGTTTAAGGGGGTAAGCAATTTGAGAAAGGTTGAGAATGTGCATTAAACAGTGCAGATGATGGAGCAGTTTTTGGCTAAATCATGGGCTTAGTAGGTGACTTGCAGAGGGAAGCATGAACAAGGTGGGGATTTTTCTCTGTCAAAGGAAGGACGAAAGGACCTAGGGACACGTGTCAACTCGAAGGAAGTGAAGTTTGATAGGTGGACGTGAAGGCTTGATGTGGTTTGAAGACTTGGAAGTGAGAGTGCAGTTGTAGTAGTTACACAACAACAGTTGCAGATTGAGGAGATCGTGGGGTCGTGGGAAAGAAGAGCTATAAAGGCCAAAAAGTTTGCAGAGAGAAGACAGCAACAACAACACAACAACTTAGTTTTTAGACTTAGAAGTAGTTCAGATTGTAACTTAGGAGTAGTTTCTTCCACTGTAATTTGTACCTTGTAACTGGATAAGCCTTGGTGATTTCAATCTAAAATTACTTTTGTTTATCTCATCTAGTTTGTTACCATCAGTTGATATAAAGCAGTTTGTTTTACTTGTTTACTTTGTTACCATCAGTTGATCCAAAGAAGTCCTCATCCTTTTGAGGCATTCGAACCACTACCATAGTTGCTTGATTGCTCCTGTTTAAATTGTTTAGTTTGAACTACTGCTTGGTTGCTGTCGATCCAATCCCAGCATAATTCTTACTAACAATTTTTTGGCACACCTGGTGGGACATCTTCCTAATTTGGAATAATGACAAGAATTCGACGGCAAGATGAAGTATAAGAAGACCTGAAATATGGCATGGAAAAATTTCGTAAAACACAGTCACATGATGTTCTAATAAGTGGATTTCCATGGAATGACGTGTCCAAACAAATAGATGAAATGATTTGGTTTTGTGAAGATGAAATGTGTTGGAGTGAGAATGAAATTTTATATTTACATGAAAAGATTGATTATCTTGGTTGGCAAGAATTTCAAACAATAGCGCCATTGCCATATTATTTGAGGTTAGAAACACCAAATCATTTTGATAAAGTGATTGGTCAACTTGATGATCAAATTGACCATTTTGAGATTGAAATTCATCAATGGAGGGAAACATTGAAAATTTTTACAGAAGCTAAAATTTGTGGCTTTTTAGTTGTTCTTCCTACACCTTTAAAGGTTGTGGATGATGAAAAAATTAATTCTTCAGTTGTTATGACTGAAAAAATGAAAGGCTATGAGAATAAAAATTTTATGGCTGGGGGGCAATTTCACAAGGAAGAAATATTTTCTAGGTTGTCAAAAAATATTTCTAACCCATTGATTTGTGAAAGGAAAAATCAGTCATTTTTTGCAAATCTTAGTCCAAAGAGTGATGCAAACAATGTGGTAAAAAAGTTTGATTTTGAGCCAACTGTGGCTAAAAATGAACAATCAATTCATGATGATTTTAATATTTTTGACATTGTTCAAAATGTTGAATTTTTCAGAAATTTTGAGCCATGCAAAACTATGAATTATGACATTCAACACCCATTTTAGGTCTGTGGATCACATCAAAACTTAATTTTGGTGAATTGGTTAAAAGGGGTTGGGTAAAAAGGGGGTTGCTTGGTTAACTAGGTTGTTTAGCAAAATTTTGTTGACTAGGAACATGCCAGATGAGTGGAGGAAGAGTATTTTAGTGTCAATCTATAAGAATAAAGGAGATGTCCAGAATTGCAACAACTATAGAGGAATCAAGCTACTGTGTCATATAATGAAAGTGTGGGAGAGGGTGATGGAACGCTGATTGCGAGATATAACAGAGGTGTCAGAGAATTAATTTGGGTTTATGCTTAGCAGGTCAATGGAAGCGATTTATCTTTTGAAGAGAGTAATAGAAAAGTATCGAGAAAAGAAAAGAGACATTCATATAGTGTGTATTGACCTTGAGAAAACATATGATAAAGTGCTCTAGGATATAATATGGTGGGTGTAAGAGAAGAAAGAGGTGATAAAAGGTTACATTGATGTGATTAGGGACATGTATGAAGGGGTGGTGACCACTATTAGATCGCCTGCTGGAGAGACAAATGATTTTCCTATCACTATAGGGTTACACCAAGGATCTACCTTAAGTCCTTTTTTTTTGCTTTAGTTATGGATGAGTTGACGAGAAATATTCAGGATGACGTGCCATGGTGTATGCTTTTTGCAGATGATATAGTGCTAGTGGATGAGACTAGAGAAGGAGTTAACACAAAGTTGGAGATTTGGAGAAAAGCTCTTGAATCTAAAGGATTCTGGATAAGTAGAACTAAGACAGAGTACGTGGAGTGTAAATTTAGTAACAGTAATAATGAAAGCAGAGGAGAAGTGAAGATTGAGAACCAAGAATTGCCTAAAAGTGAACATTTTCGTTATTTAGGGTAGATCATCACAACAGCGGGGGAGATTGATGCGGATATGACCTATAGAATTAAAGCAGGATGGTAGGGATGATGCCACATACAGTTTCTCTTGCAATTGAGTTTTTGATAAAATTATTGATGATTCTATTGTTCTAATCTTTGGAGTGCATATATGCCCTTGAAGGTTAAAGTGTTTGCATGGACTATGTTTCCTAAGAAGCTTAATACCAAGATATGTTTCAAAAGAATAGGTCTAATCGTTCTTTACTCCGTCAATAGTGTTTGCATGGAGAACATTGACCATTTGTTTTTGCCACGCCATTAATATTATGGTGGAGGGTGTTTCAGCTGGGGGAGTTGGAGTTGGTGATACCTTCTTCTAGTGTTCAAATGCTTTGCACTTGATTTTAGAAGTGTTGGATCGAATCACAGAGCAAGGGCTCTTTGGAGTTGTGTAGTATGTGTGGTTGTTTGATATTTGGTTAGAAAGGAATGCTTTTGAAGATAAGTGTGAAGACTTATGGGTATTTGGGAGAAAATTTGTTATGTGGCTTATTTTTAGGCTCCAGTATCTCCTTTTAAAAGAGATTTCTTTATTTTTTATTTCTAGGGTTTGGAGAGTTGTATGTAACTAGTGATGATTCTTGTAATATATTTTCTTTTTGTTTGGTGGATAACTTGTTCCCTTCTTTATATTTTTCTTTTCTTTTTTATTAATATATATATATTTTTGGTTGTTGTTGTTGTTGATCATATTAAAAATAAAAATAAAAATGAGGAAATCTATACTGCAAGTTGTAATATTTGTAGCTTTGCTTATGCTATTTTGTGGAACCTATGCCATTTTCTTAGTAACTGTATCATATAATGTACTAGATAGTTAAACCTCATGCTGTGGAAGTGATACTTGGTCTTTTCTTTTCTTTGTTACATTTATTTAGAGATAGTTCTTTATGTATAGTTTCTTATTTTATGATCTATGTGTTGCCCTCCCTTTCAGCTTTCCTGCATTAGATATGATCTTGTGGAAATGGATATCATTATGTCCACGAGAGAAACTAGCTTGACTGAGCAGCTTCTTCCCTTGAAACATTCTTTTCTCATTCATGAATTGAGGTAATATAAATTGGGTGTTTTATATACATATCTCCTTTGTAGAATCTCTTCTTAATTTTACATAACACTTAATGTGTGACTGGCACTTATTTGGAAGTCAATGTTTGTGGCTGTTTAAGCAACTGTAACAGGTAGCATTGTTAAAAAGGTCAGTTGTTGCTTGGTGCAAAGACAAAAGCTTCGGTTGTTGTAAAATTAACAATAAGAGAAAGAAGGAGGAGGAGGCGGAGGAGAGAAGAGAAACAGCGAGACAATGCAACAATAAGTTAAACAAAGAAGCTAGAATTAGGGTCCTCTTCCTTGTTCTTATGTGTTTATACTTATATGGTTCAAAGTAAAAAAAATGCAGACTAATTAGCACCTTAACATGTAACACTCCCCGTCAAATTGGTGGTGTTGTGAAATGTATTTTGGATATTTTGTATAGTTTGTATTTATCATAATGGTATTATTTTAGTATCTAGGATTAATTGTAGTTTTTCTCTTCTCGTATTTTGTAGAAGTCGGGATTCTCTTTTTATTCGTCACATCCCCCTCATTCTTAGCTAAGACAACATCACAGTGAACTTTGTTCTTAGTCATCTTTGCCCCTTCGTTCTTAGGTGTCTTGCCCTCGGACAACGTCTATGTAAGCCCCTCTATTTTCGAGTGACATTGGAGCAACCTCCTTTGTTCTTGGGTGACATTGTAGTCTCTCACATTAGTTCTTGGAATTGAAATTGCAATCTTTGTCATCGGCCCCGTTTGGTAGAGCTGTGAGAAAGTGATTATAGCTTATACCTTAACAGCTTATACCTTAGAACTGTGAACATAAGCTGATTTTTGACTTATAAATTAAGTTTCTTCTCCTCCACTCAAAGAATAAGTTGATTTTTGACTTACAAAAAGCTCTAAGCTGTGTTGTTAAGCTAAACCAAACACATCAAAATAGCTTAAATTAAGTTTGAAGCTGAAATAAGCTGGAAATAAGCCCTACCAAACAGGGCCATCAAGTCAATCGCAACCAATTATCTTTCTATCTCTAAAGAAGGAAAGAACCTTACTGGGTGTAATTGGGTTTACAAAGTTTAAACCCACTATAACGGTTCTCTTGAGCATTATAAGGCCAAACTAGTTGCAAAGGGTTTTTCTCATGAGTATGTGATTGATTATGATGAGACTTTTTTTTCTTGTAGGTTAGATGACCACCGTTCATACTTTGATTTCTGTTTCTACAGTTTGTCAATGGTTCATTTTTTAGTTGGATGTCAAGAATACCTTTAATAAGCATCTTAGTGAATAAGTTTGTGTCCTTCCCTAAGTCTTTCTCATCCCAATGGCTATGTCTGTCATTGTGTTGTGCTCTATGGTTTGAAACAATCTCCTTGTGCATGGTATGAGTGTTTTCAGTTGGCTGTTACTCAGATTGGTTTTCATCTGAGTGCTCATGATTTTGTCCTTTTGTATGTTATACTGCTTTTTGGATAGTTATTCTTTTGTTGTAGGTGGTTGATATGATGATCACTGATTATGATTTTGCTGCTATTACTGAAGATAAAAGACATGTTTGGGAGTTTAAGTCTGCTGCATTATTTTTTGGGCATTGAGGTAGCTTCTTCCATCAAGGGTTATTATCTCTTATCATAATCTAAGCATGCAAATGAGATCATTCAGTGTGCCAGACTCACAGATACTAAAGAGTTGATACTCCTATTGAGCTACATGCCTAGTTTTCTACTACAGATGGTGTTCTTCTACTTTGTGTCATGACTTGGTTGGTTGCTTGGTTTATCTTATCGTTACTCAACCTAGTATTGTATGTACTATTCATGTGGCGAGCCAGTTTGTTGCTGCACTTTGTACTATTCATTTGATTGCTTTGTTATCCACCCCGTGTTATATTCGTGGTATATTTCGGAGTTTGTTGTTCTCTTTTGCATTCTCTTTCACTCTTTGAGCCTATGTCGATTCTAATTGGGCTAGTGATGTATTTGATCACAAGTCCACTGCTGATTTTTGTGTTTTCCTTGGTGATTTTTTATCCCTTGGGAAAACAAGAAGCAGTCTATTATTGCTTGTTCTATTGTCGAGGTTGAGTATCGTGCTATGGTTCATGCCACTGCTGAGATTATTTGTTTCACACCTTGAATTCTGTAACCCAAGACCGTGATAAGAGGTAAAGGGATAGGGATGGGTCAAGGAATGATAAGTGAGAAATATATGAAATCGCCAAGAGGTTGACTGAGTCAAAGATCAAGGCTGAAAGTCAACAAGGTGAGTCAAAGAAATGGTCTACTGCTTAAGCGGTTTCAGTCACCAGGCAAGTCTAAAAGAACTGGGCAGCCTTCCCCTTATTCAAGATTCAAGAATGGGTCACACCGATCCTCAATCCAATGGCAATAACATGAATATTTAAGCATAAGTAAATGATACATCTTATCAATTCTCAATGAAAATCAACCATGCAATTCCAAGGTTCATTTCCCATTCATTGTCATGTAATCTAATAACATAAATTGGCTTCTCATTCTATGTTGAATGAATTACAGCATATGAGTTCAATCCATAATATTAACAAGTTACGCCCTCAAGGGCCTACAACAAAAGAGGCCCTTGGCTCTCAACAAATAATTGGCATTGTGCCTTTACATCACAATTAATGGCACAAGGCCTTGCACAAAAATGGCTTAATGGCCTCACACAATCCACAAAAGAAGATTCCAAGCTACCTCACGGCTTCAAATCACCACTAGCATCTAGCATGTTTATTAACGATGGGGTGAGCATAAAGCTCAGTAAAATATGAAACTAGCATGCTCAACTTGTGATCATGATGCGATACATAGCATAATACGAAAATAGTTTATCCAATGTTATTCAACAATTATTAGTCAATTGAAGTTCACAACTCACATTTTATCAAAATCTTATCCCTTATTTCATTTTCATCAAAGTTGAGCTTGAGGCTCTAGTTTCCAATGCACACAAATCATTATTCTCATTCAATGATTTTAAAGTTGTTTACTAATGAGAAACTCTCAAACATGAGTTACATAACCCTCACTTCTGTTGGAATGTATCCCACATCGCTTGAAGTTGGCCCATCTGTGCTGGTTATAAGGCTTCAGTTTCCCCTCTCCTTAATATCTGGGTTTTAAGGAGAAGTGTAGCCTGAGCTTTTCAATTTGGTATTAGAGCTTGGTTGGGCTTGGAATTGGTGTGTCGTTTGTCCGGCTATTGTATGTTGTGGTCTAGGAGGGTGTTAGAATGTGTCCCACATTAGTTGAAATTGCCCCATTTGTGCTGGTTATAAGGCTTCAGTTTCCCTCTGCTTAATACCTTGGTTTTAAGAAGAAGTGTGGGTTGGACTTTTCAATTACTGCTTGGTGAAGAAGCATGGACACAGACATGTGACACGACACAAACACGCCAACACATAATGTAGGATCTGATACGTGGGGAACACATGCAACGTATATAAATTTATATATTTGTTATATTTCATATATAAGGATGGAATAACTACTATATGTCATATATATGAATTTTTATGTGGAAGATAATAATTTTAAAGTAAAAAATAATAATTAATAATTTTCTTTTAACCCTTGGGGGTTGGCTTAGTGGCTAGGCCTTGGGTCTTGGGGGTGTACTCCCTCTTATGTGCAAACAATTCCTTGGGGACATTGGATTGGGGGAAAACCCTTGAATTAACTGTGGTGCACTTGTAGGAAACTCTTTGACAAGGGCCTGTGTACCCTTAGGGATTAGTCGGGTTTTGATCTAGACACCCCAATGCTAATAAAAAAAAAAAATTGATAATAATTTTTAAGTCTAAAAGAAGAGAATGAGTATAAATTTACATTGTTTTTGTTTTATAATTTTATTCCAAGTTATTTTATTTAGACTTGTAATGTGTTTTATGTGTATCTAAGTGTTGTGAAATGTTTGACAAGTGTTGTGTTGAGTCGGTGGCAGACACGACACGTTAATTTCTTAGCTTCTCAGGCTACTAACCCAAATGACATTTGGTACCTATATTACGAGGGTTTCCAAACTTTTACCAAGGAGCATATCTGGCCCAATTTACTACATAATACACCAACTTTGAACTCACAAGTTCAATTATGAAAATTTTATCAAAGTTTACCTATTCAGAAGCATTTCAAGGTTTACCGTTCTCCAATCATTTCAAGATCAACTCATTTCACAATTTGGGTTCACAATCTCAACAACAATGGCCAAAAGCCCAATTCTCATTTCAAATATTCATTTTACCATATTGTTCAATATTTTCAAACAATTTTCTCAAAACTCCCTACAAAAGGGCTTTCAACATTTTCCTAATATACCAGATCATAACATGATATTCTCAACTTTTTTCAAACATGTAGTAAATGACCAACGTTTTATGCTCTTTCACAAAAATAGGCATCATGGTATTCAACAAATATGCAATGTTGTAACATTTTTCATAATTCAATATACTCAATCTCATAATACAATGATAATATATGAAAATTCCCAATTTCTAGTATGTGATTCAAACCCCCTAAGGCATACAATTTCTCAAAATTTCTTTACCATTACATATACAAACTACCACATAGACACCTAAACCCTATATTGAACAAACTAGAAGAAACCCCTATGAAAATATTGTGTATATATGTATATATGGTAGTATAGTGTGTATATATTCTGAGAGATTGTGAGAGATTGGGTGTATATTTTCATTTCCTTTTTAGTCTTAGGGTTAGGCGTACTATATAATCAAATGTATCATTTGTATTTTGACACAATTGAATATACAACTCTTATTCATAAATCATACATGGTATCAGAGTCGTCTCTAAGCCAAAACCCTAGAAGTCGATTTCTTCTTCTCTGTGTTTGTCTGGTTCGACTGAAGGCCTCAAGCGATTGTCATGCGTGGTTCTCTCTTGATTGCAACTTCCCTCAGGTCGTAACACATAACCTCAACCTCACAACCCGACTGCCTTTGTCTCGTGACTACCTCT